GTGTTGGGTGCTCCCGTGATAAGATTTAGATGTTGTATATTCAAAAATCACTAATTAAGGGATACCCTTGCAAATGTCACTCCGACCTCCTCTAGTGATGATAAGTGATGCACTGCATGTGTAATAGCTGTCACAACATGGAAGGTTTTATGTTTTTATCCGTTTTTTAATATTTTATCTCTTGAACCGTGCGTTCAAATCACGAACCATTTCCACCTTTGTGTTTCTCGTGTCGGGATCATCTGAACTAGATACCATTAATCAGTTCGAACGATTTTTTCTACAGAAAAAGGAAACTAATAAAAACTGAAAACAAAAAAAACAGAGGCACAAATGTTCTTCACACGGAAGCATATTTTGTGCTTCACTTTTTGGAAAGCATAATTTTTGCTTCACACGGAAGCACAACTATGATTCATGCGATGCACACCAATACTTTTCACTTTTTGAAAAACATGGTTTGTGCTTCACGTGGAAACACAACTGTGCTTAACCGTGAAGCACAAATTGTGCTTTCACACGGTGTGCTTCACATGGACATGCGGGAAAAGAAATTCCAAGTAAATATAGGGAAATCAAGATTTTTTTCATCCAAAAATAAAATCCAGGAAACATAGGAAAAACAAATTGTGCTTTCACACGGTGTGCTTCACATGGACGTGCGGGAAAAGAAATTCAAAGAAAACACCTGCAAAAAAATATTTACGCTCTCACTGATGTGTCCAATGCACGCCAGGCGACGTTAGTTGGGCGTACTGACAACCCACCAAACCGCCAGCTGGGAAGGCCTCGCATTGGAACCGACTGTTTAGTTGCACGCCCGCGATGAGGGGGGAGGGTTGTTGTGTATCACTTACAGCGATCGCCCACAATCATCGCTCCAGCCGCCACAACCCTCGACTATCGGCCGGCCCACTAATAGCGCATGTGATCCCTCATGTCGCCACCACGTATGGGAGCGACAACGAGCGTATGTTTCACTTCGGGGAAAATAACTTATTTTTCTTATTTCACACCGGGTTTATATCTTAATAAAGAAATATATGAATTAGGATTTGTTAAGATTACTTCAAGTTTTGAACCTATTTTGAACTTTTCTTGAAGAACACATTTTTTTTAAAATTTCAAACATTTTATGAAAAAACACAAACATATGCTGAAAAGTGAACAAATTTTTAATCCCAAATTCTTTTGGAAAAGGTAAATAACTTTTGAGAACTCCCAAATAATTATTGAAACCACAATTTTTTTTTCTGAATTTGTCAACAAAATTTGAACGTACAAACAATTTATGAAATACCAAACAATTTTTGATAATGTGAATATTTGCTAAAAACGTAAGCATGTTTTTCAATAGGTGAACAATTTTCTAAAACAGGAACATTTTTATGGACAATATTTAAAAAACATGAATGTATTTTGAAATTCCCCAAACATTTTATTTAAAACGTGAACAGTTTTTGAATGTGTGATTTTTTTCGTAAACTTGAAAATTTATTTATATTCCGAAAAAATGTTAAAATGTGAATAATTTATGAAATTCTACAAAGGTCATTTGAAAGTGTGAACAAAATTTGAATATTTTTTATTTCTTTTTGTTAATGTGAAGAAAAAGAAAGAAGAAACAGAAAAACAAAGAAAGGAAAATAGAGTAAATAAAAATACTGGATTGGAGACCTGCTAGAAGGTCCATGACTGGCTATGAACCTTCTAGAAGCTTCCTAAAATCAGCGGCCGGTTCACGACTCCTAAGTATGCTAGCGCAACTAAATGGGCGAGCCCAGTAATAACGTTGTCGTGAGAGATGGCATGAGCGATGTTAGAGATAGGGATTGCAGCGGGCGATACATAAGAATATTTGTTAGTTGCTCCACGTATAGTATTTTTAGAGATGAGATAGAGTTCAATTTCAAACGACAAACGCAGAGCCACGAGTTTGATTCGCTAACAATGGATCATGACATGGCCCAACAATAACTCCAACCCGTGCCCATGTTGGACCACCAAAGCATCACCGCCCTGACATGTGCGCCCCATGCGTGGCCGCTGCCGTTGTCATCCTAGTCCAACACAATACCATCCATAAACATCGTCGCCCGTTTTCCTTTCAGCGCAGTTCCACATATGGTTTCCGTCTGCGCCTATCATTCTTGCGTCCTGCTCCTTCTCGATGTCGTTGGTCGTGGGTAAAGAGCTTTCTAACGAAAGTGTTACCTAGCTGCAAAGCATCTACCACATAGTTGCTTTGCAGTTTTTGTGTTGTATGCCCACTTCATTTGTATAGCTTTGTATTTTCAACCCACTTTTCATATAGGAGATTAAGTCAAATCAGGATGGTCCCCACACATGTGCTCTATCTCTACCCCCCACCCCCCCTCCACATCTATGAATGGAAGAAATAAAAGAAATCCACTCTCTCTCCTCTCCCACACAACAAATCCATCTTTTCATTCAACCTATGCTAATTTAAACCCACCATACTTTTAACCCATAATTTCATTTTTAACGTTTTTATATATTTGAACTCATAGAGCCAAGACCCTTAGAACAAGATCAATCTTGAATACATTAAAAAAATGATTGAATTTAAAATTTTGAAATAAGTGAAACCAGTTTTTCTGAAATATATTTTTTGTATTATGTCAAATAAATGAAATAATTTGAATAATCAATTTTCTAAAAACATACTTCAGTGTGGAATACGTGTAATTTGTTATTTCAAAAATGCGAAGTAAGGTATTTTAAAATGTTGAAGCTGATTATTTCAACAAACAAATTAAAATAAGCGACTCTATTTTTGAAATGAGTGAAATTGTTATTTTAACTTGTAGTTTTATAAAATATGTTAAACTAGTTTTCTGAAATAAGTGAAATAAGGTCTTTTAATTGCGTGAAACCATTTTTTTTAAATGAGTGGAATCTATTTTCCATACAAACAACACATATTTTTGCTGTGAAATTTGTGAAACTTGTTAAATTTTGAAGCTAGTTATTTTAAAACATGTGAAACTGATTATTTCGAACCTCTTTTTAATGAGCAAAATCTATTTTATGAAACGAGTGAAACTTTTTTTGAATTAAGTGAAATCTGTTTTTTGAAATTATTGAATCAGTTTTTTGCATTGAATGAAATCAATTTCCAAGTGAGTGAATTTTGAAATGAGTGAAATCAATTTCGAAAGTAATGAAAAATGTTTTTTGCCTGATTTAAATCAATTCTGAAATGAGTACGAAAACTATAAAATTGAAATATTCAAAATATATCCAAGATCAGTCTTGTTTTAAAAGGTATCATCGCCCTAAATTCAAATACATGTCGAAATTAAAAAGGGAATTTTGGTTCGAAATATATCATTTTTCAAAAGATTTGCTATGTTTTATAGGTACTTTTCTATGGAGAGAAACTTAATATACTTGGACTGTCAGCCTACCCTATGCACATACGTAAAGCTGCATTGCATGCAGAGGGCTCCATACATCAGGCTGTATTCCCATGCTCATTATACTGTGAAAATGATTAGTTTTTTATAGTCAAAAGGCTGCACCAATCTCAACGTTTCACATATGTGGTGGATTCCCAACCACTACATCGCGATTCCGTTAGATTTATTAAATCCCAAATATTTTTGGAAAAGGCAAACAATTTTTTAACCAAGTTTTTTTGAATTTGTGAACAAAATTAGGAAACATGAACAATTATTTAAAATGTGGGAATTTTCTGAAATGTGGACATTTTTTGAATGTGTCAAAAACTTTTGAAAAGATGGTCATTGATTTAAATTTCATACAAAATTTTAAAAAGGCAGACATTTAATGAAATTCTCTGAACATTTTAAAAAACATTCGAACATTTTTTAAGTATGCTATTTTTAAGAAAAGGAAACTTCTTTTGATATTCTTAAAAGTAAAATAAAAATGAGAATAATTTTTGAAATTCCCAGTAACTTTTTTTGAAAATCCGATTTTTTTTCAAAAGGATAATTTTTTTAAAATTTAGGCATTTTATAAAATTCATAGAAATAGAAAAATGAAACAGAAAAAACAAATAAATAAATAAAGTACAAAAACTTTAAATAAAAAAATAGAGGTTTATGGACCTCCTTGAAGGTCAAAACCTACCAAGAAACTTCCTAAAATCAGCAGCTGGTTCATGGCGCAGAATGCTAGTGCAACTATATGGGTCTGCCCAGTATAGCGCTGTAGCGGGAGATCGCGTGAGCGATCTTACCGATAGGGATTCCCTTGCAGCGGGCGATACATAGCAATCGCGATTAGTTGCCCCGCGTATTCTTTTTCGAGAGAGGATAGAGTTCAATTTCAAACGACAAAAGAGAGCCACGAGCTCGATCCGCTAGCAATGGATCATGGCATGGCCCACCAATAATAACTACGGCCCGCGCCCATGCCGGACCACCACATCCACCACGCCACCACCACCTGGCCAGTGGGCCCCGCGCGGCCGCCGCGTGGCCCTCGTCGTCATCCCAACCCAACGCAATACCGTCCACGAAAAACGGCGCCCGTTTCCCTTCACCGCATACGGTTTCCGCCCGCGCCCATCACTCTCGCGTCCTGCTCCTTCCCGATGCCGTTGGTTGCGTCACAGCCATCCAGGTACCTCCCGCTCCCTTCCGTCCGATCCCATCCAACGGCTCGATGCGCTCCCCAGATCCGCAAGCGCCGCGATATTTATCCCGCGGCGGCCTCCATCTCTTTGCTCCAACGAAAAAGCCTTTTCGTGTCTCACACCGCCGGTAACCAACGCCGTCGACGAGAGGTTTTCGTGCACCATCATCCCATCTTCTCCTCGCTGCCTTTGGGAATGCGGAGCAATGTGGAGGAGCACGCGCACTGACCTCGCCGGCAAGCATAGCCTGCGCGGCGGCCGCAATTGCCACCGCAAGCACGTCGAGGACGGGTAGATCGTGCGTCGACACTCGCCGGCCGGTTCAGTGCGGGGCTCGAGGATCGGTCGCGCGGGGAGGAGGAGGGGGGCGGCAATGGAGGACGCGGCGGAGGGGAAGACCAACGTGCTGCAGGGGAGGTACGAGCTGGGGCGGGTGCTGGGGCACGGCAACTTCGGCCGGGTGCACGCCGCGCGGGACCTGCACACGGGGCGCGGGGTGGCGGTCAAGGTGGTGGCCAAGGACAAGGTGGAGCGCGCCGGGATGGTGGAGCAGATCAAGCGGGAGATCGCGGTGATGAAGATGGTGTCCCACCCCAACATCGTGGAGCTGCACGAGGTGCTGGCCACGCGCACCAAGATCTACCTGGCCCTCGAGCTCGTCCGCGGCGGCGAGCTCTTCGCCCGGATCTCCCGCGCCGGCCGCCTCCGCGAGGACGTCGCGCGGCGGTACTTCCGCCAGCTCATCTCCGCGGTCGACTTCTGCCACGGCCGGGGCGTGTACCACCGCGACCTCAAGCCCGAGAACCTGCTCCTCGACGAGGCCGGCAACCTCAAGGTCGCCGATTTCGGGCTCAGCGCGCTCGCCGGCCACGCACGCCCCGACGGGTTGCTCCACACCGCGTGCGGCACGCCGGCGTACGTGGCCCCCGAGGTGCTCGGCGGGAACGGCTACGACGGCGCCAAGGCCGACATCTGGTCCTGCGGTGTCATCCTCTACGTGCTCCTCGTCGGCGCTCTGCCCTTCCAGGACGAGAACCTCATGTCCATGTACCGCAAGATGCAGCGCGGCGGCTTCCTCTGCCCGTCGTGGGTCTCCAAGGACGCCCGGAAGTTGATCGGCAGGCTGCTCGACCCCAACCCGAGCAGCCGCATCACGGTCGCCAGCCTTGTCGAGTCGCCGTGGTTCAAGAAGACGACGCCCATTCCGAACCCTCTCTTGGAACCCGTGCCATCAGCGGCCGCGCGCGGCAACGGCGAGGACAAGGACGAGCCCCCCGAGGCGCTGAACGCCTTCCACCTGATCTCCCTCTCCGCGGGATTCGACCTGTCCCCGCTGTTCGACCAGGAACCACCGACGGGACGCGGGACGAGGGGCGGCGTCATGCGGTTCGCGACGCGGGAGCCGGCGAGTGGCGTGATCTCACGGCTAGAGGGCCTGGCGACCGGCGGGGCCATGCGCGTGACGAAGAGCGGGGCGCGCGGGGTGCGGCTGGAGGGCGCCGAGCGCGGGCGCAAGGGACGGCTCGGGGTGGCGGCGGAGTTCTTCAGCGTGGCGCCGTCGGTGCTGGTGGTTGACGTCAAGAAGGACGGCGGCGACACGATGGAGTACCGGTCGTTCTGCAGCGACGAGCTCCGGCCGGCGCTCAAGGACATCGTGTGGGCTGCTGCTGCTGCTGCCGCCGCCGCGTCCCCCGGTGACCCCCCTGCCCCCACTTGATGTCGCTGTCGTCCACACCACCATTATTGCCCCTGTCTGTCACTGTTGCTATCCGGCCGTAATTAGGTGTGCATTATTGTTCGGTGCCGAAGTTGATGGCTGCTGCTGGTATGGTTGTGCTTGTAGTTGTTGGCTGGTTTTTGCGCGCGGCAGCAAGACAGAATCGGCGCCAAGTGATGTGATGTCTGCGTCTGCCAATATTGTTATGAATTCTTTGAATAACAGTACTATGTTGTTTCGTAAATTCATGTGTGGATGCTTTCGCCTGACATTGCAACTTCCGGCTGGTAACTGCGAGACTATCCGAAAGCTTCGGCCTCATTCGGTTCGGGAGGATTTTCAAAGGAAAAACATGAAAATGAGATTTTAGAGGGGATTTTCTATAGATGCATTCGGTTTGTAGGAAGCGAGTGTAGAACTTTCTCAAAAATACTACTCATTTTCTATGTTTTTGAAGGACACTCAAACCTTATTTTTTGCCTAGGAACGAGGTAATGCAATTCATAAGGACGGCAAGTGCCATCCTATAACATTCCTATACTACCTCTAACTAGAAGAACGCCTGTGCGTTGCAACAAGGCCACATTAACTTTAAGAGTTCAATATTACGACATTGACGACTTTTTTTACCATCAAATCCTCACACACACATTCTTCCTCCCTCTTCCTCACTCTCTCTCCCCCTCTCCCTCTCTCTAACACACACATATATCCATCTTATTGGGTACGGGACCATAATCCATCTATTTCACACACACACGCTAGTGCATAACAATATGGATTATGTGTATTACATTTGTCACCAGAACTGAGGGAATTAATTTCATGTAAATCGGCCAGCCACAACTTCAAGAATACGCGGAGGAGGTGGCCCGGGTTAGCGTCGGCGTGGGCCACGGGCCCGCTTCGAAGTGCACGTGCAATGCACGTCTTCACAAATATTATAACCAGATGTGAGAAATCGCATACTAACACGGTGTTGCAATCAATTTGTAATTAAAGAAGCCAAAAGTCTTTTTTTAAACCAGAATTCCTTATGCTGGAGTTTAAACAAACCCCACAATAACATGATCAATTTTGTTTTGCTCTACTTATCACCTAATTAAGCAAATGCATGACTTATGAAGCGGATAAGAAATCATGTTAACTTGGAACTAAAATCCCAACAAAAGAGTGAGGAACAAACCTTGTTATCATTGCTCTGAAGTCTGAACCTCCTCCTATTTGTTAGTGAAATGTGAGTATGCTTCGAAGATAATAATTTCTTATGCAACATATACTTTTACATCTGAAAGAGCTACAAAATATGTTGACCTACCTATGTGCACTTCCTAAATCAAGCGGATAAAATTATTTCTATCGACAATATAAAATACTAAACATTAGTTTGAATTGAATAATACAGCAGAATTGTCATTTCTGACTTTTCATCCATCACTGAATACGAAAGAAAGGGACAATGTCCACTAACCATGCAAATATTCTGACCATGGGATATTTAGGCTGGCGTATATGGGAAATCAAAGCTAAAAATGACTCGATGAGTTAGGGATACATCAATAAATATTGTAAAAAGTGATAAAAACAAATCTGCAGCTTCGCGACCCCACAAACTCATATTCGCAATGAGCAAGTTAGTGAGGCCGCCACGGTAGGCTAGCACCAAGGGACAAGGGCAACAACCGCCTTCCCATCCAACCTACTGATTCTGCTCGCGCTACTTTCATCCTAAGCCCATGAGTACCGCTAGTGTGTTGCCACGTACGGAGAAACTACGAACTGAAATTTTCATCCAAATCATGAAAAATGTTAATGTTCCTCTCCTCTCCCATCCCTCGTGTGAACATACCCAATTCGCGGTTGGCTCGCTACATTCGGCGTAGCTCTGATGTGCACTGCCCCCGCTCTTGATTAGTTGCCGCAGTGCCATGCATCTACGCCAACAAGCTGGGGAAACAAATGCAAATGTTACACCGAGTCAAAATCAACCATCCCACAATCGTAACAATAGAAAAGATAATAACCAAAATTTAACAGAAGAACTACTGCTTGGCTCCCAGATCCATCTCGATAGCCCTTGATCTGGCTACTGAGCTTCTCCTAGCCGCCTCAACATCACGTCATTACCAAACATGTAGTGGATGCCTAGTGGGACAAGGATTAAGAAATAACATGAGGTGAAAAATACGATGGCTGTCAATTCCATAAAAGGATCCAAGTAATTTGACAAAACAGATCGGGAGCATCTTGTATAATCTCAAAAAAGCAACTAAAAATATGAGAAATGAATTGATGAAAATCAGCCCCTGCTCTCATTCATGCTCACTTTTGTAATGGGAGGCAAGGAATGGGGATACCGGGAGAAGAAAGGATCACATGGACGGCAAGCCTCCACCACCGGCAAGTGGGGTTGCTTCACATCCAATCTCCACGGCTGCCGCCTCCATGGGGACGAACTCCCATGTTCACAACCGGGCTCCCAATCGGCCGCTGCCTCGCCGACCTTGACGACGAAGTAGTCCCTCCCTTCGATCCCATTCGCAACGGAGGCAACACCCATCCCAGCGGACGGGTCCGCAGTGAGATCCCTACCGGATTGTGGTCGCGCCTCCCCAAACCTCACCGCGGGACACATGAGAGGGCGTCATTGCCATGGTCAGGCTTGGATGGGGAAAGGAGGCGACATCGCAGCAACGGCGCCTTCGCCGGGATTGGTGGCGACGGCGGCGGCGAGCGAGCGGGAGGACGGCGGCGGCGAGAGAGTAGGAGGGTGGTGGCGGCAGGCCATCGGCCGCCGTGACGTGAGAGGAGGATGGGGATGGGGCCGCGATCTGGACGTATGGGGCGGTCGAGAGGAGGGGAAGCAGGCGGTTGGGTTTTTCCATCGTGCGGGGTTTGGGAGAGGTCAAACAAGAGGGTTTTTTCGTGCGGGAGGCAGAGCAACGAGGGCGGATGTAGGGAGACGGGACGCGGTCGGTTGGCAGGAAAAGGAAAGCTACACATTTTTTAGGCAGTAGAGATGATTGATGATAAGAAAGGGAAAATCACATCAATATAAGAAAATATCCCATCAATACTTGATTGGAAAATCACATCAATATAAGGAAATATTCCATCAATACTTGATTGATTGCGATTTATTTTTTATATGGTAACTAATTTGATGGGTTTATGTGGGTGGTGAAGCGAAAAGGCAGGTGGGAGGGAGACGAAATAAAACCAACGAAAGTGGTGAGGCGAAATAAAACCAGCGAAAAATAACCGGCGTATTATTCACCAACTGCTCCATTAAGAGTAGAGATTCCTCCGTTTTAATTTCGCGCAAACCGAATAAGCCCTCAGTCAGTCTCTGGAATGGAAAAGATTGCCTGAACTAGTATACAAACCAGGTACTTACTGGATACTGGATGGTATTATTCAGATGAAAAAGTTGCCTCGACTATAGCCCGAATATAGGCCGTCCGCAACATAATTTTCAGATGGTACTCCTTATATGTCCTTATACAGCCGGACTTGTTTGACCTCTTATATGTCCGCAGACAGCGCCCGGTCAACCCTCATTTCTTTGTGTCCATAGATGTCCTCCCCTTTTACCCGAAACTCCAAATACATGCAATCCAATGCAATGTGATCAAACAACCAAGCTCACCGACCCACTATGATCTACGACTAATAAACCAACTAACCAAGGAGTAGTGAAGATAGATAGGTGACGCGCCAGACTTTACCACTTCCTTGTCGGGCCCTTCCCCTTGGGGTCTCTAGAGTAGCGGTACTACTACTCCGCCTATACATCGGGTCGAAGTGGTGTCACTGTGGTTGGAGGAGGATGGGGACGAGGAAGGGACGCCGGCCAGCACGCGGGCTTGCTCCTTGGCTAGACCCGGAGCCTTCGGAGCGATGGCCGCCCTATGTCGCGCGAGTCACTTGACTCCTCGATGCCTAGCCGCAATGTCTTGGCATTTAGCGGCGGCGGCGGTGCGCGTCCTTCCTGTCGAGGTCAAGGGACCAACGCATGATGTCGTAGGGGCCTAGAGGAGGTCCTCATTCAAGTCGGCGGGTGCCATTTGCTCGCGCGCGGATCTGCACGACCCGCAATCGAACCAGCCGATCCGCCCTGCGACACCCTTGCCTTGCAGGGCGAGCACCCGCGCCTTCCACTTAGGTAGCCACAGCCTCGGGCTTGGTGTTGTGGTCATGAGCGCCGGCCGGGAGGAGCAGCAGCTGCAGGTGCCGGGAGGAACTGATCACCCCGCCGCCTGATCATGGAGGGCGCAAACTGCGATACGCACCGCTGTGGGCGGACGCAACGCTCGAGCTCTCCCTCTGGGTCACCATGGAGGGAGCAGAGTTGGAGCTCCCGCCATTGTCCATCCGCGACCGATGGAGGGCGAGCTCCTCGTCATCCTAGGTGGAGCTCGAATTCAATATGGCAGCGAGCACGTTCCAATCAATTTGATTCGCCTCGCTATCAGATCAGCTGTCGAAGTCGGCCATGGTGGAGCGGAGAGGGGCAGGCGAGAGGGGAGAGGAGCAGTTTGGAGTGAGCCTGGGGTTTGATTTGGTTGAGGATGAGTTAAGATTTATATGGGGATGGGGTGGGCCAGCATGGGTCAATCCAACGTGACGGCCGCGTCTGATGTGTCAGACCTTCTTTTATTCGCCCACATATGAGCTGGGTTTGAGCAGTGCCGGACATCTGGGCCAACTGTGAGAGGTTTGGTTGGGTGCATATTTTCGTCCAGTCGGCATCCGGACTGTCTACCCACTCAAATGGGGGAGAGTTGGGTGTCTGGTTGTGAATGCTCTAAGTCGTGTGTTCCTAAGAAAGGTTTAAACTATCCGTACAACTTCGACCTATCGATTGTTTCAACAAACTATACTGCAAGCGAAAAAGTTCACCTGCCATGTATACAAACGTGCGACAGAGGTTTTTTCAGACCAAAATACGGAACATTAACTGGGCGTTATGTGAGATCCTGCATTCCTGGCTCCGTACC